TCTTCCCACCCAGTAACTGTATGCACATTTCATGCCTTTTCACGTGATGGGTACATTTCCAGCCACACAAGATGAGCTGGATTAGCACATGGACTCTTTCCCCAAGCCTAGGCACCAGGCTGTCCCTTCAGCCAACATCTGAGCATCATTTCAACACATCCAATGGAAAGATGGGCCACTGAGCAGCACAGATGCATGCTTCCACCTGACTTGGCACTGGACTGGACAGCCGTGACTGCAAAGCATGCCTTTTCCTCTCTGGCTCAGTTCACAAAGCACGTGGTTACCAGCTAAAAATAAGCAAATAGAAAACAAGCTTTAAAGGCCTGATCAGGGATATCCACCTGCAGCAGGAGCTTCTGCAGCTGTGGACATGGGTGCTTTGATGATTTTCTTTGGATGGTAAGCGAGCAGAGACACCTCTGGAGACCTCCGGCTCAAATATTTGCCATCACTAACAAGGAATCACAAGACAGAAGCCAAGAATGGGCACAGCTCTCTGACATCCCACTCCAGTACCACCAGCCATAGCACTTTGTGACTCCCTATCACATTTGTCAAATACCCCTGGCCCCTGCAGCCTTGTGTTGCCTTGTGAATAAGGCTCAGGCATTGAGTACAGCATGCCCAGGGCAGGAACACACTGTATTTCCAGTGGACTGGTATAGGGAGAATAGTGGTATAGGGAGCAACTTCTGTGTTCCTCCAGCTCCTCTTACACACACTTTACCAGCTAAAGTCCCAGCTGGTAGTCCCAGAAGATACCCTTAGGTCTGTTCCTCAACCACTCCTACTCAAAGAAGCACTGCAAGATAACAGCACCAAAGCTTTTCCATATACATTAGACAAATGTTGTTTGTGATTTTTTCAACTGTTAACTAAAGGAAAATGAAGTTCACATGTCACACAGAAATAGCAGTAGGGCACTAATAGAAAGGTTGCAGGTGAAAGTGGCCTCATGAGCTCCAGGACCATCTGCACCGGGGACCTCATGGCTACAGTGCTGCAGAGCAAAGGACAGCACTGCTGCTTCTTGCCACCCAGGAGTTCCCTTTCAGTACAAGAGATAATTACATCAAAGAAGACATTAAAGGAAATAAATTGTGATGAAGAAAAAAGTGTTTTGCTTCCAGGTAGGGCTGCAACAGACCTTTTTTCTTTTTTAACCATTTTTAACCGTAAGCATTTCCAACAAAGCATACTAAAGCAAGGTGACAAGCAGTATTACCTGAGTCAGCATTGCAATATTGCTTTTTTAACAGGACACCTCTGTGCTGAACACCAGGAAACAGAAGAATTTTATTTATTTATGTATGTATGTATTTATTTATTTATTTATTGAGTGGTAGACAACAAGAAAAGCATAGAGAGTGAAGAGCTGTCCCTGAAGAATGGACATGAGCAAGTCTAAGCAAGTAATGTACCTTCTACACGTGCATCAACCAGTAAAAGAAAGTCTAAGAAAACATATCCTCTCCTCCCCTGTACAGGCAGGTTGGTTACATGGAGAAGGCTGAGGTTCTCATGAACTTTTTTGCCTCAGTCTTCATTGATGGCTGCTTTTCACTCACCCCTAAAGCACATGAGTTGGAAAGAAGGGACTGAGGGACCAATGTCCCTCCTACTGTAGGCAAACATCAGGTTTGTGATCACCTGAGGAACTTGAGCATCCGTAAGTCTATCCCAGAGTCCTGAGGGAATAGGCTGAAATAGTTGCCAAGCCACTCTTGATGATATCAGAGAAGTCATAGCAGTCAGGTGAATCCCTCAGTGACTGGAAAAAAGGAAGTTGCATCCATTATTAAGAAGGGTAGAAAGCATGACCCAGGGAAATACTGATCTCACCTCAACTTGCTGATCTCACTACTGTGCCAGGAAAAATCATCTAAGAGATCCTCCTGGAAGCTATGCTAAGGTATATGGAAGAAAGGAAGGTGACATAGGATAACAAGCATGGCTTTGCCAAGAGCAGGTCCTGCCTGACCAATCTTGTGGCATTCTACAATGGCATAACTACATCAAAGAGCCACTGATGTCATTTATCTGGACTTCAGTGAGGCTTTAGACATGGTCCCCCACAATAACCTTCTCTCCAAATTGGAAAGATAAGGATTTGATAGGCGGACTGTATGATGAACGAGGAACTGGTTGCAAGATCATATCCAGAGAGTAGTGGTCAGTAGCTCAATGTCCAGACGGAGATCGGTCACAAGTGGTCTGCACTGGGACTGGACCGATGCCCTTTAATATCTTCATCAGTGAAATGGACAGTGGAATCGAGTGCACCCTCAGCCAGTTTTTGGATGACACCAACATCTAACATCCCTGTGCCTTGCTACCAGGCTACTACACACTTGAGTACTGCCACTGAAATAACTGCAGCCCTCTGATAGCTTTAGTCTGTTGCCTGTCCTCTGTTCAGGATACTGCACCATACGAAGCAAGTGATCATCTCTCCCCTTATGACTTTCCAAGCTTCCTAGCACTGCAGCTGTCACCAAAGGAGACCAGAACATTTCACTGTTCAGACTCAAATAACACGAAGGATCAGATTTTACCTGGCTAATTTGTTCACTAAGTACAGCATTCTTATGTTTTAGTTTCCATGGATGTGATAAGCCTGACTGGGCACCTTTGTTTTACAAGAACGACAAAACCAACCTCCAGAACATTAGCAGTGAAGCAGGAGAAAAAAAAGACATTTCCCAGATCCACAGCACCAAGCTGGATGCCATCACCCAGTTTCAAATACCCCATGTGACAGCAATCCATTACAAAATCACCTGTAAGCATACCACAAACTTTATGTTGGCATTACTTTATTCCTTGCTTTGCTAATCCCACATGGAGAGCCACTGCTGTTGATCAGCAAACAGACATTAGACTGGGTAGCACATCAGGAAAACAGGAAAAGGAATGGAAGAAGTTTGGGGCCAGTAAAAAAGACCAAGGTAAAGGCCACAAGCAAACAGCCCAGTAATGTGGGGCTAACTATTTCGATATTAGAAGCTGTCTCAGATAACAGTTGTTTCCACACACACTTTTGAAATTTGTATTAATTGCAAAATAAGATAAGGCACTCAGGCTGTGAATTTATACCTGAGAGAACACAGCAATAATCCTTCAAGGTACTCAAAGAAAGAACATAAGGAAAGGGTCCACCCACAGCAGCTCCCAGGCAGCTGCACCAGGCTGTATCAGAAGAAAACAGCTAACTAAAGCAAAGCATTTATCGAAGGCACCTCGTGCCAGCCATCCTAGTGCTCTCAGACTCCAGGCTACAAAAAATTAAAACACGGGGAGAAGATGAAAGAGTGCTTTTGCAAGGAACATGCAACTAAGCTCAAGTATCAAACACCCAGCAGTGCTAGCCCAGAAATGTGAGCAGCTGATACCTCACGCAGCAAAGGCCTAATCTTCTTCTCTTGGAAGGCTCACATGGGGAGAAGCTCGCTGAGTTGCAGGCCAGCCAAACGGAAGGCATGCCAGCTGTAATCTCCTTTCCCAGCTGTGTACACAGAGAAACTGCAGAATGCAAACACTGGAGGAAAAAAAGGAAAGCTCCAATTATTCTCAGACCACAAGAACAACCATGTCTAAATGCAGAGATATTGGCAGGATAGCAGAAAAGAAGAGCTGTCCAAAACAGTCGATGTAAGAAATTGTATTGTTTACATCCATAGCCACCGAGGCAGACAAAGAAAAGGAAATCTATGTTGCTAGTCCTTCAATAACCAGTCTGGATTTTCTGTCAAATACCCAAGTTATACTTAAAACTTAATCTCTGGAAAAAACATTTCCTCTAAAAAGCTTTAAGAACAAGACACAACAACTGCTGTTCCTGCAATTATTACTTTTTTTTTTTTCCATAATGAGGTTGAGGAGAAACATCTTTTTCCCCCCATCAGCAACGAACTCAGGAGGCCAGTTACTCTTTCAGATACATACAATGTTTGGTTGCATGCAGAATTAAACATTCATGCAATTCTGGGAAATATATACTTAAAAAGAAATCAAACTAAGTCCTGTCCTATCTCAGACAGTTCCAACTATGACACTGGCAGAAGGATTAGAGAGTAGTACCAGGTCTAAGCAAGAGAATTTTATTCCTGTATGGTTTGCTTTCTCTTCAGGAGGGACTTCTACAAAGAATCCTTGACATTAAAAAAATGAAAAAAATTAAAAGGAAAATCTTTCCTGATGGTGCAGAAGTCTAAGTACAAGACATTCAGCATGGTCATACTGGTATGTTAAAGTTGGAGCAAGCATGCCATGGAAAGTTACATCATTTGTCCAGCAAATAAAGCTGAGGGTGTTCTTGTTTGTCTGCAGGTTTTAAGTCTCATTTCCAGAATGCTGACAACTTGTTTTTAGCATAATCACAAAACAGACAAGGTGCATTAATGCCCACTGATGCAAAAGCATGCCATCTTTCAGAAGAATTCTCTCCAGCAGTTTTCATTTCTCGTTTTTCCATTCCAGCTTGATTTTCTTCACCAAGGCTCAACTTATTCTGGAAAAACACTGGAGTAGCACCAAGGAAACATCATTTAGTATGTTAAGACAATTCAGAATTTACACACTGTTCCAATATCTACATATCTGTAAAAGTTTACACTAGTATACACCAAAAGAGAAACTAATCTCCCCACCACAGGTATGGAAAGAGCCAGACTGGTAGCCTGATCTGGAATGTCATTCTGATGGCTATGCAAGCCAGCATGAGTTATCAAAATGCAGTTTCTTCAGCAATGAGTACCAGGACCTACGTGGATTGGACAGTATTCTTCCCCTCTCAAAACCTAGTGACAAGGAATCAACAGGAAAGCAAGTAAGAGCCCTGAAATGTGTTAGGTTTAAGGTCAGTGCACTAGACTCTAGTGGTTACTGGTAATGAAACAGCAGAGTTTTCACTATATAAAATTTATAAATTTATTTTTTGTAAAAATCCAAAGAGCACGAAGACATCTCACTCAAAATACTGGTAAATCAAACCACACTTAGAAAAATGAAAGCTGATTTTATTATCTTATCCACAGCCAATCATTTGACATGAACATGCATACGTAATTTTGCTACGCACACACCACAGTTTAACGTTAGTTATTAAAGGTTAAACATACAACATACATCCTTACAAAAATGAGTCAAAATGCAAACGTAACTTTTAAACAAAACAGTTTTTACTCATTTAAAAAAACCTTTGTGTTGGGTACCATTTTGTACAAACACAGTTAATTTAAACAAATCTGCTTTTAGTTTCCTCATGGTTCAACATGAAAATAAGCTGCAATAGAAAATGAAGTCATCAAGGGATTTTTAAATAGCAGAAGTAGGCAGTCTTGCCATGCAGAAGAAGCAATATTAAATATTAGTTTTTCAAAAAAAGAAAAAACCACAAGTTTAAAAATATTTAGTTCAAGTCACAAATCTTTCCCCAGTACAGAGAAATCCAAATACAACGCATAATTAGCTGCCACTTAGAATGGCTATTCTGAAATGTAGAAACTTTCCAGAATTTTAATTTTTGATTTGGCACAGAAAAGAAGTCTGAGCTTACTTAAGAACAAGAAAGTGATTAAAAAAAAAAAAAAAGGTAAAACAGGAAGAGAGAAAAAAAAATACAAAGCAAGAATGAATGAGATAGTAGTTGCAATCACTAAAAAAAAAATCTGTGCATCTCAGTCATTGCAGAATACTGTCTGTCTACAGCAGGTGCGAGTTCCAGGTAATTGTTATTGCAACATGGATTTAATTTGCTTGGAGGTAGTCTCATCATTCAAATGCTTTGTTGTGTACCTAAGCACAGAAATAAAAATCAAGTTTAGAAAAACACAAACTATTTCGTTTTGGTACAGATAAGCTGAGGCATAACTGAACAAACTGAGTTTATGCTATAGAAAACCCTACAGCCACTGATCTACACCTATTCCTGTCACCTGGAAGTGCTACTATTATCAGGTCTATACTCCAGCAGCCTTACACAAAGAAGAAATAAAAAAGCCTCAGGTGGATGTTGGCTCATTCTCATATGCCACTTCTCAGTAAAGTCATGTGCAGCTGTGAAAGCCAGTTGTGAGCACTGAGACTGACTGACTTCATGGGCAACATCTTCAACTGAAACAATGCTTCTGAAATCTTTCTTCCCAACTTCCAATAACTAAACCACTTAAAGATTCCTCAGAGGCAATGGCTTAATTCCCTGTTTACTTAGATAGCTGTGCTAATTACATCTTTAAAAGGTATAGATACAAGTGTTTTTTCCCTTCTTTTCCCTCAAAATTCTCTAGGGTATTTTTTTTTTTTTAATCACCACAAAAAACTTTGTGAGATCTTATTTTAAAGTACTGTGTACACTCCATGTTGCAATCCATGCACAGTTCCTTTCCCTGATCTTATTAGAAAATCTTATTCTGTAATTCAAATATTTAATGGGTTAAAATTAGCACTTAGAGTGTGATCCATAACTGCACTGATATTTTACATGTTCACTAGCAGAATATACAATGGCTTGGTTTTGAAAATCATTATCAGTATAGATTTCAGAACATTTTGGGAATACATAATTTCCACAAGAGCCCTAAGCTTTTCTAAAATCTAGAGAAGTTATTACTTGGTATTTTGCCCATGTGAAAAAGCTGAACACGATTTAAATACTTATAAGAATTTAATTCCAAACAGCTGAGATCTTTCCAAAATCCATACTACCTTCCATCTGCTTTTAAGAGCCATGATTTACCTCTCAGGAAAGAAAACTTCCAACCCAAATCCTCCAAAAATCAAAGACTCAGATCATCTTAATTTCTCATGACATCATCTTGAACCCCCTTCCACCATGTAGGCACACAGCAGCTCAGCATCATTAGTCAACAGTTCCAAATGTGATTTTAAAAAAGGATTTCAATATCTTACCGCAATAAATCGTCACATATATGAAAACCCTGGATTGTTGAAATATCGTATGTATGAAATGGGTTAGTGTGGCAAAATGTCAGCATGACAGCACAGCTCAAGTTCACAGAACTGAACACAATGGAGTGAGAACCTGAACGACCTTTTGTGTACTTTGCTGGGCAGAAAAGAAATACTGTGTTTTCTCTTTAGAAACTTGTTTTCTTTTACTGATTACCATCACAAAGACTGGTTACTATCACAAGAGGTTTTAGAAATGAGTAACCAAACCATGTAGGCATGGAAACACTCAAAACTTTCCAACAGATTTTTTTTTTATCTTTAGCTAATAATCTGAGAAAAAAACTTGCCCAATTAAACCACCTATAATACTATATTATTTCCCTTCTTACTACAGCTGGACACAAAGAAAAAGGAAATTAATGCAGTTTCACTACTGATAAGAAAAAGCCAATTGAGCAACATCATCTAAAGCTTCCACATTTTAAACACACAAATAGCCATACAGAATTATAGTTAACTTGTACTAATAAATATGGTACTTTTTCAAGTAAGCACAAAACAGAGGCCTCTACTTATCTATTCTGTTTCATTTTATCTTGCAAATCCTCTGATGCCTGACACTAACACGTAGAGATATAAATGTATGATCCAATTAGCAGTTTTGAGGCTTCTATAATGAGTTACTTGCTCTTTTTCATCTCTCTAATTTATGTATTAGCCACTTGTCTTGTATATTCTACAGCAAACACATTGATACTCGCACTGCAAGTACCCCTTTATAAATACTTTGCAACAGCTTTTCATATGTAAGTAGAAACTGCTCCTCTATCTACCGTGTATGTCTGAAGCTATCTGTGAAACATGAAAATTGCATTAAATTACTCAGACTCTGCTAATAATACATAAAATCATTATCAAACCACACAGCCAAGGATATGGCAATATTAATTAATTAGTCAACAATTTTGTCTTCAGGTACAGTCGCTACTCTGTCACATACAATTTTTCACCCACTCTTACCCTGCATGCAGCTGATGCATGTAAAAAGCTATCTTAGAACAAATTTACAATACAGCCTTTAAAACACAACAGCTTCTTCATGTGTCCATGGCTCCAAACACAATGGAAAGAAGCCTGCAATAACCACATTTGCCTTTCACCTCCAGCACTAAACACTTCACTGTGAAAGGAAGATCCTGGACAACTTCTGAAAATTTACAAAGATTTAAAATAAAGAAAAAAAAGGATTACCTGAGAGCATTTAGAAGGCCTTCTACACTGTTAGGAGGCTGGTCTTTAAGAACTTTGATGCATCCTTTCATCTAGGAGTCAAAAGAAAGATGATTTTTTTCATACAAATATCTTGTAAGTTTACGGAAGTGTTATATATTATTTGCCACTTTGAGAAAATTAATTAAAAATTGCAAGAGTGCACTTCCTTGATACTAGAAAGGAATTAAGCTTTCAATATTATGTTTTCTTAGAATAGCTCAGATCATTCAAAATCTGCTTATCTTTAGACAACACAGCATTGATGTGAAACTCTGATGTATCAATATTAAAAATAAGTAATTATAAGCACGATCTTTGCCTACAATAGATTTATGGAGAACAATTCAATTCAGCTAGTGAAATAATGACAAAATGACAATTGGATAATATTCCATATCAAATAACCACTAAGCATATGTTAACAGCATGCATTTCACAGACTGTTACCAAACAAACCAAGTTAGACCTGAAAACTAGCAAAGAATGAAGCATTTTACAGGAGTGAGGAACAAGCCAGATGCCACCACTGTTTTCAGTAGTTTTGATTCATACCTTTCAATACAAATGACTGTTCACAAATGAACAAGACTGTCACCACCTGAACCTCATCACATTTTTAGCCGTCTGACAATAACCAATATGAATCTAAAGCTATAAAGAATTTTATATTTCTCACTGCTTATACACATTTTGTTGCTAGTTAACAACACCCTTTCACTATCAAACCAAAAGGCACATCTGCTACTAAAACCTGCACTTAAATCCATGCAGAAGAAAAAAACTACAAAACAGTTTAAATACTCAAAAGATTACTCAGAAACAAAAAACTTACATCAATTTTAGAAGTTTTGGCAAAAGCGCCCACCGGATGCACATGGTCATAGAGTATGATGACACCCACCATTACCCTCAGACAGAATGATACTGTTTCCTCATTTGTAAACCTGCTTCTATATTCACTGTAATTGAAAAACATGGAAAATTATTCATCAAACAAAATAAAGGTAATCACTAGTAATGCCCAAGATAAGTTTAAAGAGAAAAATTATGCACTCTGCTTTGCTCTGGTGCATCCCAATCTTGGGTACTGAGTGCAGTTTTGGGTACAATATAAGAAGGACTAAAACTATTAGAGTGTCCAAAAAAAGGCTGCAAAGATGGGGAAGGGTTTACAGGGTAAAACACATGAGGAGTGGCTGAAGTCTTATGGTTTGTTCAGCCCAGAGGAGACTGAAGGGAGACTTTGGTGCCCTACAGCTCTCCCACAAGGGGAATAGAGCAACAGGACCCAAGTAGATGGCCTGGACTTGCACCAGGGGTGGGTATGACGGTGTCAGGAAGAGGTTCTTCAGCAGAGGGTGGTCAGGCATGGAAGAGGCTGCCCAGAGCAGTGGTCTCATCCCCAAGTTTCCAGAGTTGGAGGACAGTTTGGACAACACTCTCAGACATAAGGTCTGAAATTTTGGGTGGTCCTGTGTGGAACCAGAGGCTGGTCTCAATGATCCTTGTGGGTTCCTTCCAGAGCAGAATAGTCTATAAAATCCTGCCATAAATCCTCAGAGAAAGAACAGTTCTGAGAATTTTCCTTTTTCCTTTTTCCTTTCAGCGATCTGATCACAAAAGCAAAACCACCGCTTAGAAAGCAATAGCTGGAAGTTACAGATTCTCAAATCTAAAATAGCACCCTATCGTGATGTTTCAAACTTCCCCCTCCCTCAAAAAAACACACCAACTTTGCTTTCTGCATGCCTTATCCTTTCTCCCCTCTAATCCCTAAAATGCAAGCAACTCAAACTTCTGATGTGGGGACAGGAGGGAAATGAAAGCCCAATGGTAAACTACTTTCTTGAATGAGATGACCATTTCAAAACAGACTAATGGTATAAACATTGGGAGGTATTAATGTATTTCAAAACATACGTACTGAGATATTTGATCTGAACTTCTTTTAATTTGACATTGTGCCTCTTGTCTGAGGAGTTTTACTACTGGGAAATGAATTCCATCATAGAAAAAATACAAAGCTTATTTTGACTTTGTTTATACTCCCAGAGCCTCTCAAATTAGGAATAGACTATAGTCTGTCCTTATGCCTAAATTCATCTCACGTTCCCCAGGCAAGGGCACTGTAACTTTGTTACAGCCTTCAGCCAGGCCAACTTGCAAGGAGACACCATTAAGCACAGTCGCTGATAACCTCTCTTCTAGGAGGCCCTAGGCAATCATGCTCAAATGGTGTATTTTCCTGAATTATATATGAGAAAACCACTTATAAGTACCACCAAGAGGTTGTCTAGCTTTCATAGCTGTTCTATTTTAAAATATTAATATGTTCAGAAAAGTAGACCACATGATTTGTGTGGCTAGCAAAATAAAACAAGTTAGTTTCATGTCAAGATTAACAACTAAGTTGGTAAAAAGATAACACCAAAATTCCTAGTTACCCAAATAGCTTTCCTCTTAATGAATCACAAGTCACATCTAAAGACATGGATATGATTAATACACAATATTAGTACTATTAATACTCACGGGGTTTCCAGCATGACCCTACACACACTAGCCATGGTGCTTAAACAATCTGTAGTATTCTCTATTGGTAAATTTTTATTCTGCAAAAGAAGATAAACAGTTTTCAATTTTTGTAAAAGATTATAATATAAAACATAAATCAAGTCAATGATCTGTTGGCATGGCAATATGGAAGAATTAAAAACTCCAGTACAATTATGGTAAAGTTAAATTCTTTTGCAAAGTTGTGTTTTGTATTTTTGCTTTTGTTGTCCTGGGTTTTAAACGTTACATTAAAAGCTGGCAACCTAAACAGTAAAGTCTACAAAACTGAAGCCTACCATATCTGTTTTGCTTGCAGAAATGCACCAGTGAAACTACTGAAGTTTATGAAGTTCTAAAGGAAAAAAAACTAATCTGTTCTCTAAGGACAGACTTCTATAGCCAAATACGTGCAGCAGATGCATGTCTTTCTTTTCATTGAAGACTTATTGTTTCAGAAGAATATCTCAATCTCAGGAATTTAAAACGACAAGTAACTTTTCAAGGCATTTCAAGTGTAAAGAAGAATCAATGAAGAATTTATTGAAATAGAAATACGACTTTGTATTAGTATTCTAACACATGTACTATTTTTTACATGAAAAATAGTTTCTTCCATTTGGAACAAAACATCATAATTATCAACGGTCTGTCAGAATACAATCACTACAATTAAAGTATCATTGATATTTAGATACAGTGAAACAAGAATGCTTTACAACATTGGAATACTTTTCAGGATCCATTCTCTCTCATTAACCTTAGTTGACTTTAAACTGCAAAAGAGAAGTGCCTTCAGAAGGAGAAAAGGAAGATGCACTGCAATTCCCTCTCTATTTTAAGTACAAAATCAAACTGTTTCTCCTGAAATTTTATGAAGTTTCTGATCCAAGTACCAAAAAAAAGCAGGTAACATGCCTACCTTCTAGGTATTACTAGAGGAAATCTTTCACTATCAGTGTTCTATTACTTCCTGCTTATTTTTTGCAATGCATCCACAAGGTGGCTAGCTGACACTGTTCACCTCTACAGCTTCTAAGAAAGGCAGTTCTTGTTTCTTGAGGTTCCAAAGAAACAAGTTGGATTTCTGGATGCAAGAATAAGCCCGATAGTTCAGTTTTCAAAATGATGTCCGGCCCTGGAAAGCTTAAGTATGCTATCCAACCCATAAATGTATATTCTTACCTCTGACACAAATTTTGTTGTAGCATCACTTAAGGTTTTCAACATTGGCGTTGCTTCAGCATAAAATAAAGACATTCTGTTTGCCAACTCATTATTTACTTCATTTTCTCCTTCTGCCTAGAAAGCAAAAGGAAAGAAGAATTCAGTTGTTCTTTATATGAAAAACTAGGTCATAGCACAAGGTTACATTTCATAACATCTAAAGGTTACCTACTGGGACATTATTAATCCTCATACGGCTCAGAGTTCTTCTGTAGTAGCTGAAGTCATTCTGTATAGCAGGATTTGTCATCTATGTATATATGGAAGGAAAAGAGTTAAGACAAACTTCTCAAGAAAAATAAAAAGACAAGATTTCATAAAATTGAGTACCAAGAAAAAGAAAATACGTAAATTCCTGAAATAAAAGACTTGTGACATTGTAAATAGAGATACATAGAACAAATCTATCTTATTAAATACACAGATTTTTCAGAACAAGATCTAACAAGGAAAGGAGGAGGTTTTCTAATAGGAATTTGAAATTAATAAGTTGAAAAAAATGTTTTTGTATATTTGATTCCAAGGATCAGACCAATACATTGGTATTATTATTAGCTAAGTTCTTTTCACGTCAGCAAGAAAGTATGTGCCCAGCTATTAACAGTAACACCAGCATCATCCCAACAGATGTACAAAATTCAGCTGAAGAAACATGACTAAGATGAACTGAAATGTAACAAGTGTCTAAAGCTAATATGATGTTTCTTCTGTATTCCAGTTTAGTTTAGCTGTAGTTCATGCGAACAAGTCATCCATAGCAGACATTTGAATATTTCCTTAATGCCCTGTTCTAGAACAGAACGCAACCCAAACTTCACTAAATAGAGTTGTTTTCTAACCTACTTACAAAATTATACCAAGTTCTTACCTTGAGCTCATCAAATCGGAGGGTAAAGTGAAGAATTTCTGCAAACTGCTTAGCAAGAGCCTGCTCTCGCTCCAGGTGTTGTGTTGGTGAATATGGAGTGCTTGTCAGGGCTCCCAACAGACCTCTCAATCCTGCCTCTTAAAAGAGAAGAGAATGTTTCACAATATACAAGTGCACCTGCTTCTTGTGTCTGATACTCTACACACCAGACTTAAAATATCAATCTTCCAAAACACATGGCAATTAATAATAGACTTTGGGAATGGTTTCTATGTGTCAATTTTATCATATTTACTTACAAACCGCTATGGAAACTATGCCCAATCAGTGCTAATGACACTGATGAAATGTTTTTCAAAAAGCTTTATTCCAGCTTTGTCAGCAACGTGCAAGTTAACTTCAAGAAGATAAAACAAAATTAAAGATTGATACCTATCATCAGAAGTCATGTTTTATTTGTCTGTTTTTAAGATAAACTCACACTCATATCTTAGTGCCCTCCCAGGTTACTACAGGGACAGGAGATGTCAAGTATACTCCTATCCTCTCTTCTCTCAGGTATCCACTGAAGTAAATTTACTTTCACATGAAAAAGGCGGCATACAAAAAAAAGTGCATGGAAGGAACCTTGCAATAAGAGCTCATAACAAATGGTTGACCTGGATGTGATCTATGTCTATATTTCAAGTGTACAAACCCAGTGAAGACAAAAAGTATGTTCATACCGTTCAACTTACCTAGTCTTTGAGAAAATTCATAGAATTTCTTTAGTTTGCCTACTAATGGAACAACTGCACCCCATGCCTTCTCTTGCAGTTTCTCATCATTGGGATGCTGTATTGCCTTATATTAGGAAAAAAAGAGGAAAAGAGTATGTTTAGATAAAGAATATCTGAGACTTCACTGAAAAAAAATCTATGCAGGGTGATTGTTAAGAGAAGTAATCTAGCTTTCTAAATACTGAGCACTTTCTAGTAAAGAGATAACCAAAGACTGTTCCAAAAAGCGCTAAACATTTGTGTTGAAAGTAAGTATCCAGCATAGAAAAGCAAAACAAAAAACACTTTGAGAAAGTATAAATAAATTGTTAAAAATAAAGTTACTCAGATTATGCAACTTTACAAAACCAGATGTCGTTAATTGAAATCAACAACTTCACTTGCAAGCAAAGCAATTCAGTGATCAAATTTTCTAATATTATCTACCACCAATTTCAGAAACCATGAAGAAAACAAACCACAATACATTCACTATGAAATTCAGGCTAAATATTACAGCAGGGACACTGTGATACAATCAGCAACATAAAGATGTCATATGTCAGACAGGCATATATGTGTAGACCTCATCTTCACTTCATTAAGTTTTCAAGACAGATAACACTTTGAATTCAATCTCTTCAAGTTTTTAAGACAGAAACAGGGCTTTTCTACAACTAAAATTTATCTAGAAAACAGAAATAAAAAAGCTTGTAACTCCCTAGCTCCCTTCTTCAGTCAAGTCCTTGACTCCAAAATCCATTTCAGTCAACTATGGGCTGCAAGTTTCAGCACACTTCTTTCTGGCCCCTAGAAAGCTTCCTTCTGCTTTGCCTACCTCCTCTCAGCTGCAAGTCTCTTTCTCCACAGGAACTTCAGGCCTTGGTGCTGTGACACACATTGCAGCCAGATCCTAGAGCCTCTGCTTGAACATGCTCCTTCTTTAAAGAAAGGAATATGCCATCTCCCCTCCCCAGGGTTGTGTGTGACACAATTACCATTACTACACCTAACTTACCACTTCAGAGAGACTGAATAAAAACACATGGTACTTATGAAAGCTGAATAGCTATGAATTTCTCCAATTTATGTGGAGTGAGCAGAGACTTGTATCTAGTAAGGTTTCTCACAGCACGCTATAGTGAGAATTCTCGCTTTATAGGAGCAAAGCAGCCCCTACTCTTCCATCTGAACCAGAAGAAGAAGGAACTGAAAGAGCATTTATTCTACTTTTCCTGGAAGTTAAAGAAAAATGGAGTGACATGCTGTTCAGAAACCCTGTTTCCATTCCAAACACCTCCTTCAGTAAATAAAATCCACTTGGAAGGTATTGAGAAGCCTTTCGCATTAGGATTCTCACACATCAGACTTTTCCAATCAGCCCACAAACAGATATTGACATTATTTAACACTGTATTGCAGTCATGCTACAAGCTTGTCAAATGACCACTAACTTGAGCTAATGTGGAAATATAAAGAAAACCATTTGCAACAATTCCATAAAACCTCTGAGAAGTGTGCTATTACACATGTGCGTTAATATTACTGAAACAAGTGACATCCATTTTGCCATTAAAAGGAACATTCCAAAGGAGAATTTCAAGACAGCAATTTTAATAGGCAACATGCTCTGCCAAGACAGCTCCTGCAAGCAAGTTAAATTCCAGTGGTACTGTTAGGATCAATGAACAATCACAAGCTGTGCACAATCGTAACGCTCTGGCTCACCTCTCGTATTTCATGGCCAGCTCCTCTATATGACTGCAAGTCTTCCAGTATTCCTTCTGCATCCTTTAACACTACATTCACCTGATTATAAATTTCCTTTTCAGATTCTGTAGGTTGGGCATCTAAACAGTAGAACATATTAAATATTTATATATATATTTTAACAACATTATGGAATTCAAGAGGCACACCATCACCTAGGGGACAAATTCTTCATACAACTCACTAATTACTACTATGTATTAGGAACTCCAAAAGAGAGCAAATTGCATTTGTTTTAGTAATATTTTACCTTCTTTTAGGAACCCAAAAAATCCCCTTGGAGTCTACTCTGACTTATTTACTATTAGATTCAGAAAAAGAAATCCAGAGACCCTGGCAGGATGCCTTTATGAGTGCTGTGTAATGATAACCGATCCTCACCATAGGGTGCAGTGCAAACTCAGTGTACAGTAAGGGACTTAGCACACTCACTGCACATATACTAACAATGGAAATGAACACCTGAAGGTTATCTAGGATTACTGCATAAGCTTATTTCTCTTCTGCCTTGTTATTGGTAGGGAAAAGAGCTGCTGTATCTTTTACTTCTAAATATAATTAATTCACAACTCATTCTTTATTGCACTAATTGCAAAACCATAATTGAGAAGAAGATCTTGTATGAACTTCTTCTCTTCCTCTTTTTTTTTTTTTTTTTTCCATTTAATTTTAAGGATATACATTGTCTTACCAGCAGTGTATTTGATTATTATTTCAGAAAGCTCTATATAGGTATGCATTTAAAGACATGTCATTCAATGTGGAAGTATGTTTTGAGAAAACCAAGAGGACTTAACGTTTAAACATAACCACTTCAGTACAAATATCTCAGACTTATTTTACCTGACAAACTTTTTCTTTTAAAATTCTGATGAAAGCTCTAAAGTTAGGCTCTGATACAAAAAAAGCTAATTAGCAAAGCTGTTAGCACAGCTATTTACAAAAAAACAAAACCAACAACAAAAAAAAAACATTTATCCTTTTAAGTGGGCAAAATACGATATTAAATAAATATCAAGATACTGTAATTCAAGGGTTTCCAATAACAAAAGTCAAGGGATTTATTGTTACTATCCTTCTACAGGGACAAACAAAAGCTATCTTATGGGCAATACAGCCTCATAATTTTGTGCAGTTTAAAAAGCCCAGCAAAAATCTTTAATGAAAGTGATTTTTCTATGATAGATATATACAACACTCACTAATGGTGATGGAAGTCAGAGACATTTAAGTTAAAAAAAGAAAAAAATCCCAATATGAGTGTGACACAATAGAAAATCATTATAAAGCAGAGTTTGCATTAGAAGAAATTAAGTTTCACATGCATTGCCTGTCTGGATTTTGTTTTAATTTTTGCATCATATTTCATAATTTTATGGTTCATCAGATACACAGAGTAGGCATTATTAGCAAACATGCCTATACAGATTTTGCAACAGTTTAACTGTGCTATTTTGAGAACAACCAAGAATTATCATGGGTAAAATTAAGCAGGTCACTCCTTTAAAAAAAAAAAAAAAAGTATGTACAAGAGCACCACATTGATTAGGCATCGAGTAAAAGTGGCCAGTGCTTTTCGGATCATCACAAAGGTCACATTTATAATTTTGAAAGCTGCTGAAGACTGCTGTAAGAAATGAAGACAAAAAAAAATGAAGGAATATAGCAGACAGGTAAGCACAAGTTGACTGGCAGCAGTTCATGCACAAACATGAAATGCTATAGTGAAATACAGACTAAAATGTGAAGCTCTGTAGCATTCCAGATTGTGTTGTTAAATAATGCAATCAAGACTTGCCACTTGGATTGTCTCACGCTGAGAATTCCTCTTGCCTGTTTAATTTTTCATGACATTTTTCTTTACCCTCTCTACTAAGGACAGTCATTTTTCAGCACTGGGGGATGAGGGGCTGCACAGCAGAAGGGCTCACAAGAACTCTTCCTTTTTTCAAAACCAGCAGACAAGCAGAACAGATGTGATATTGTGACCTTCCAAGTTAATAAATAACAATCACCCTCCGAATACAAATTATGAAGTCTTTGCTGAGTGGCTGGCTATGTATGGCAACCCCTTTATCTCCTCAAGTCTGCTTCACTTTGGATGTGAGGAAATTACTGTACTTCGTTTCCCTAGAATGTTTCAGGAAACCTAAACCAGAGACTTTATTTGTTGGGGGGGTGTTCATTTTATTGTTTATAAGTAACAAATTTCTAAATACACGTTTTAAAATCCAGTAGGCACTGGATTACTTCTTCCGGCATGTATCTTATTTTGGTACACTTTCAACAGACAAAACTATAACTTGTTTTGTCCCAACTAAGCTCCTCTCCCATCTGAAATTCTTCATTGCCAGGACATGCAATGAAGAGCTATATTTTTATTAAGAGAACAGTGCAAATATAAAAAGTAAAGCCCATAGGACTGTGAAGTGAATGTAAAATTATTTAGGATGGAATAAGATGGGTTTAAAAAAAAACAGTGTGGAAAAGCTTCAAGCCGTGGTGCAGGCTGGCTCAGAACAATTGGCTTATTGGCTTTGGAAGACACTGTCCTGTAATAAGTCAAAGATAAAAAGGGAGAGGCTCCTCTCTCCAGTGCATCTGGAAGCTCCAATAGATGGAGGGAGCATTTGCACACACTTGGATGTACATGAGGACTCAAGCTGTGGGGACTTTATTTGAGTCACTAACTGTAAAACTTGTTTTCCTCACTATGGAGGACATGGACCAGAAATGAAAAACGTACTTCTGGAACTTGTCTTGATAATCAAGAATGAACAGCCAGCAATGCCAAGCATCCAAACAGCAACATGAAGGTGGTAACTTCAGGGATTCCCCCTTTCCTCTTACAGAGGATGTAAATTCATGTCACAACTGCATGACAATGCTTTACTTTTACCTGGCAAAAACTCCCATTACACGAGCAAATAGAGCAAGCACAGCACAGCTTGCTGAGCAGTTCTGAGGTTTGATATCATTGCCAAGGGAGCTAACCCGTGGTTATTCAGGGCAGCTTTCCCATCTTTAATCCAGTAATAAGTGCAGACTGATATCCTTTGAGCAAATGAGAAGTAAATTTCACATTTAATCAGAACGTTACTGCACTAAATGCAACATACATTTAGAGTTCAGAATGCTCACACAGTAACATGTTAAAGACAAGAGACTGGACTTAAGCAACATACAAACGCTGTCATGTGAACTAAATGCTGTGAGTATGACAACGTATTGCATGCTAGGAACACACATTTTGTGACTATTTAAAAGCATCTTAGTTGGCCTACAGAATAAAGGAGGGACAGAAAATAAGGGTTAACAATTAAATAGTATTTGCTGTGTGCTGTAAAACTGGTATTTTTCTTAGAGAAGAACACATTAAGTTATTTGAAACCAGATGGGACTCACCAACAGGGGAGAAATTCCAGCCTGCTAGAGATGAGCAACCTGGTCTGGAGGGAGGTGACTCTGCAGAGGGATTGGAACTAGATGATCTTAAAGGACCCTTCCAACCCAAACCATTCTATGATTCTATGAAATGATGTATGCGTCTCTACCGTAACAACTCTGGAGAAAACTGTCTCTGTGGCTTCTCTGAAACCCAGCTAAGATTTTTGGAGGTAATGCAGAATACTTTCAGTGCTAGCTTGAGATCACCACCTGCAAGCAAAAGTACTCTGCAGCTTAGCTACTATTCAAACCACTAAGTTTGAGAAGGATTGCATTGTGACAGCAGTGACATCAATACAAGCTTCCCATGTTGTACGTGGCTGTTGAAGTGGGACTGCAAAGATTTTAGTAGAATATTTAAAATAATTATTTGTTTCAAACAGCTGGATTGAATGACCAAAGAAAACAGGAGCTTAACCTGCATTAATGCAGGGAAAAGCCAACATTCCATTACATCATTTTTTTGTCTGCGTTCTGATAGCCAGTCACTGAAATCACTGCAAACTAGCACCAAGCTAAATATCTGAAAGTCCTGGAAACCAATTTTAAACCTTTCTACATTCAGCACCTGTATCCCTATAAAGCTTTTCAGAGATTAGATTCTGTTGCTATGGTATTGTGTTAAGGAACATTTAACTGGTCTGCTCATTCCAAGGACATACCTGGATTCAAAAACAAAAGATCTAGGCCTGTGCATAATTGGGCCAGGCAGGAAATACAGCATTGGGAATTTTGTTTTTAATACAGAGCTTACTTGCTCTTCCCCATAAAAACATAATCTTAAGTATCCCAAGATTAAGTGCCAAGTCTTGAAGAAAGATCTTGACTGTGTCAAAGTCAAGATTCTGTCAAGGCAAGCTATCTGAAATAGAGTAGAAAGAAGTATGGGTACATAATACAGCAGCAGAAACACAGATAGGACAGAGTTAAAAATGAATAAAGAACAGTCTAACAACTCAGCCACAGTGTAAGTCACTTAATTTGACTGCGTGTATAAACATTTCATGTCAGCAACCTGCTTACTCTCATGCCAAATCACGTTCATGCTCAAAACATGCACTTAAAAAAATGTGATGGATAAAAACTTTAAAAAAAATAGCAGCAATTATTATCACAAATGATTCTAGAATCAGCTACCTTGAACTAGTGGACAATCCTATTAAACAGTTTGTATTTGCAGACTAAGCTGGACTTCCAATGCTCCAATATTCTCCTGCACCATTTCTCCCTGCTTCACTATCTCACACCTATTTGGAAATTATATGAAACTTGAAATGTTCTTAAACAAGTTTTGTTTTCCAGTTCTTGAACACAGCCCTTGATTATCTTCCTTTCATGGCTAACTTGTATGGCTACTGTCATTCAGTAAACTAAATGTTCAGAAAAGACAGATGATTAAATCAACACTACAGAATAAGGGTTTAGAAACACTCCAACTTCAAATGATACTAAAGCATAACCATATTTCTTCAAGCTTTCTCTTTTATGTTACAAATAATAAAACCAATTGGCACTGTTTCACTGAAAAATAATTTAGGAGAAAGAAAAGATAATGAATCTTGTATTATCTGTATCATAATACTTCGTGGTGGTTTTTTTTGTTGTTGTTGTTATAGTATTCCAATGTATTTTGTTACCAGTTAAAATGCACTTTGAACATTATTTTTCTTATTTTATGCTAGTTGATGCACAGCTGGGGTAAAGCACATCCCAAAATAAAGTGATTAAACATGCATAGCAGCAGCCAACACCACTTACCTGCCATTCTTAGGCTACATTATATCATGCAACAAAAACTAAAAGCAGAAATACCAACAGCATGTGAACCTTCCTGAACTCTTGGCATTGATCAAAGGTATACCTCTTTTACCTTCAAAAGTAATTTCACCTCTACAACACTTGCTGAACCCCCATTTGAAAAGGGATGAGGTTTACTGTCAAATTTCAATGCCAAATCAAGTAAGGTTCACATACACACCTCTACCATTGCGATGTTGGAGAGCTATGAAGAGCTGTTGTGAGTCAAATGGTATACGCTGCATTCAGCATCCAGAGGCATACTGGAAGTGCACAAAGAAGGAATTAGGTTCCATATTTTGTCCTTCTTTAAGACACACATCTCCTTGTAATTTCAGTATGTCTTCAAAGAATTCAAATTCTTTTAAAAATTATTTTCAAAGTTTTGGTTAAAAACCAAACAGAATTTTGGTTTTAAATTGGAAACTATATCAGATTCCAGACACAAAATGCAATTTGAAAGTATTCCTGGAAACAAAGATTTTACTTCTTAGAAACTTGGGTTATTTTAAAGAAGATTATTACTTTTGTCAAAACTTCACTGAACTTTTCATAGCTCAGGCATGCAAAGCTGTTAGAAAGATGGCAAAGTGAAAACATACATTTAGTACATGACAAATGCAGTCTACTGCAGGCAAAGAGTAATAGATATATAAAATCATCTTCTCACTTTCAAAATCAAGGAAAAAATTTGGCCCCTGCTCAAGGTCTGTGCATGTCAAAACTTTAAGAAGGTTCCCCATGTTAAGGTACCTGCCAAGACAAGAATGAGAGAAAAGAAAATTTTCCTTTATAAGAAGGAACAGCCCAAATATAGTTGATTGAAGTGGTGGGGAAGAAGACCAAGGAGTTCCATCAGGCATGGACCCGTCCTTCAGGCTCCCTCTTTGCCAGGGGGAGGAGAGCCCACCTCGGGGCCGTCCAGCTGGTGATCCCAGAGATGCAATGCAGCTTTCCTGTCAGAAGTGACGTACATCAACATCTTCACAGCCTCCCCTTTGAGAAAGGGGTACAACTCCAATTGGAGGTCTTGTGACTAATTCTGTCCCGGTACACCTTAGCACCAGTGTCCTGAGCAGGAGTACCATATTGAGGGCTAATACCATATTTGTCAGCACTGACATGGTAGTAACACTACAGGATTTTACCTGATGGGACAACAGAGGAAAAGAGTTTTAATTTTGTAAGCTCTCATAATTTTGAGAGACGATCATTATAGAAAGCTGAATCAAGATGCATCGCATCATTTCATTGTGCAGAAAATGCCAACACAGGTAATCTCCAGTTCTCTTGCACAAGGTGCCTAGAAGATTTAAGAAGTTCAGGCAATTCCACATTGGACTTTTAGACGTAGAAATATGCATTAACTGCACCATGAATGAATAAACCAGAACCAGGAATAATTTAGTACTTGCTGGTATATAAGATAGGATTACAGAGAACAACTGCTCAGTACAGATTACCATGGCATACTGACAGAATTTTTCATTGTATGATTACTTGATTTGCAGGCAGATGGATGGACATCACTGACCACAGAGACCCAAAATGACTAAGCACAAGAAAAGAAAATTTACAAAGTAGCATGATGGTGGCTTGGCTCCTACTGAGGAAAAAACAAAAAAACAAAAAAACACGAAAACACAAAAACAAAGGCAAAAAAAAACCAAACCACATGCAACCCTTTTTCAATTTGCAGATTTGCAACTGAGTCCCCTAGCCTTCATTGCAGCAGGTATAAGCAACCCTCTTCATACCATTTCAAATGCACCAGCTGTGAAGGGCTGAGAGACTTACTTTCAAAATCCAAGAAAAAATGTGCTGCATTGTGGTCTATGTCCCTGGTTAGCACCTTAATGAGATTACCCATGCCAGCAAACCTAAAAATAAAAATGGCAAAATAATTTAGTTCCAATAACCATTTCCTATTTTCAGTACACGCCTGGGTTAGCTGGAGCGGGGCTTCCATCCAGGTTTGCACACTGCAGATCCATCACCTTCTGGCAGGAAGTAGTGGATGTGCACTAAACAGTGCATTTCTTCTCTTCTTCTCATTGATTATTGAAAATATGAAAAGTAATTGTTTCGACAAAAATGAAGTTCTGAATTGCCATCTCCTTCTTAGCTTAAGAATTATGCTACCTATGATAACCAACTGTTCTGCTGCAACCTACAGCCATTGGTACTTAGGAAAACAATGACCTCAAAAGGACTGGTGCTGTTTTAAGCCTGATTTTGACTCTCTCCTCATCATTCAAAACAAAATTGGGAAGTGTCTCAGTAGTAGTTATCTGTGGCCAATGAACAGTTCTTCCCATCAAATGAGGTAAAGTTACAAGTCCAATACAAGTTGAATGCTTTCAAAAAAAAAAAAAAAAAGAGACAGGTTGCAACAGTTGTTCTTATTTATGTTTGCTGTCACATTGCAGCTAAAAAGAAATGAAAAGTAGAATGAAAATTAAACAGTCATTAGATTAATCTAGGTCAGATAAGACGTTTTCAAACACGAGTAAGTTTTCAAAATAAATAAATACTTTCAGCAGGACAATGAAAATAACACTTCATGAAGAGGCAGCCTTTTCAACGACTCTCCAGGTCTTACAGAAGCTAAAAATACTTAAAATCAGAACCCTGGAATATCAGGAATTTAGCGAAGTACTGCTGCAAGACAAACTCAAGGTATTACTGATTTAAAAACTTTTAAGAATAAGTCATTAGTCAAACATTTGGACTCAGCATAAGATCTAAAAATCAAGCTTCAAATTAGTCTTATTATGTCAGTCGATCAGTGTCTTCTCTTTGTCTTCTGCTTTGAAAGTGATGGTTACTTGGAGGGAAGCAATATGTAAGAATTGTGAGTTTATGAGGAAAAAAAAAAGCAATGTGATACCTAAACAAAATATTTGGCAGACCAAGGCTTTTCAACTTGTGCTGCCAGATTTCTTCAGTTCCTTAAGAAAATGCAACCAGTGTAGAAGAAAAACTAAACCATCAGAAAGTGATCGACTTTTTAGGATCAAAAGCTAGAGAATCAACAGCAACTAACCCCAGATTTCTGAAAATAACTCAGGGCCAAATTAGTAATGTTAATCTAACAACTTCTGCAGAATGACCAAGTAAAAAGTACAAATCTAGATTTGTAGGAAAGCACCTCTGATTACAGTGGTTTCTGCTTATAGAAGTTAATCACCGCATGCGCTCCTTTTTGTGCATTCAATGTCTCCCTTGAAATGTCAGAAAAGCAAAGTCCTGTTTCCAAATTATTTAACTTCATTCAGAAGTCTGATCAGATCTCTCAGCCTTTATTTAAGGAAGTTTCAGGTTAGGATGTTCAATTGAGACTCATCTTAAAAATAAATTACCAAAACAAGTGCTTTTCTACAGCTTTCTATTCCAAAGCTTACAAGCAGCTCTGTGCCAACAGTACATAAACAAGCAGTACCAGAAAGCAGAGAATCAGTTTTTTTTATATCTCACAAGCATATTCTGAAACAAAGGACTGAAAGAGTCACTTGGCCCACACCTCAACAAGGACGTCCATGATATAGAAAATGCTGAAATGAAGACATTCTTTAACACTTTCAACAAGGGCAGTACAGCAGCAGAAATACAAGTTGCCTAAGGCCAGCTGAACCTGTAGATTCAGACTCAAGAGCCAAATCTCAAACAGTGCCTTAAGCATCATAATTCCAATGTTAACAGAAACGTAGCAAATAAAAGTAAAGGGTATTAAGAGCCTATGGAGAACTTAAGGTACACCTAAAATTACAAATTATTGGCACATTTCAGTTTATCAGCTGCAACATCTGCACATTCACAAAAATATTTTCAATACCTCATAGGAGTTCCTCTGTGTAGTTCTGCCTTTATTTTGCTATTAACCAGTCTCACAACAGTTTAAAGGGTCATACACGGGGTATAAACACTGGGTAACATTACTTTTGAATGTCAGATTGGAGCAAGTTAGTAAGGTTACAGAAAAGCTACTGCAGAACAGCCCATTTAATTGAATCCCTACTGGTTCCTAAAATGGAGTTAAGGGGTCAGGGACTCAATTTTGCCAGACAAGTACTTTCATTCTGACCTTCATCTCCCAGAAAAGTTTGCTTATGTTGAGATACCATTTTTTCTCTAGGAATAAGGTTAACCAATACACTAAAGCCTACTATGAAACAAAAGATATAAAGCAGATTGAAGCAAAAGATGTAACTGATCTACCTGATGGCAACTGTTCAGTGAACCATCTCTCTAAGAACAGGAGAGCAATTGAAAGTGAGAGTAAATTGAACTATGACAGCAACAAGATGAGATGCTGGAAGAATACAAAGGGATGTAAAGCTGTACATACATGTCTTAGTAATAAAGTTCTTAACAGACCTCTCTTGTGCATTAAGCATACTCGAGCAGTCTGAAGTCTATATGAAGGCAAAAGCCAACAGCAGACACTACTGACTGCACTTCCTATCCTGCAGTTTGGCTTTGCTGCAATGCCAAACAGCTGACTTAGAACTGGAGGTGACTTTTGCAGGCGTTAACACCTTCTGATCCACAATCATTCCAGCATCACTGGAACAAAACCCATGATTACATTATCAAGAAGGAAATTCGCTCATTGAAATCATAACATCAGAAAGTCCAGTCCTAAGTACAGCTTACATCACTATTCTGAAGCTGTTCAGACCTTCAAGCTGAATCAAGTTCTGTTACTCTCATTCAGAACAAAGCTCAGTTACAAACCAGCAATTTTTTTTCCCCTCTTAGCGGTCTTTATTAACTTTTTGAAGCACATTGGTCAAATGTTTCCTAACTCATTAGGAAAACCAGCAGTGTAAGATTCAGTAGATCAAACAATTGAAGTTTCCTGTTGACATGACTCCATTACCATAAAATCAGAGTAGAAGAAAACTACTATTCCTTTTTTGGGTCCAAAAGCTGAGCATCCCTGTGAAGCTGCCCCGGACCCGCCTGGCATGCTGTGTATGCCAGCACAACGCATGAGCCACGTGGAGCAGGTTGTGGGAAATCAGAACACTAGCCAAGAACATGGGTTAAACTTGACCTACTTGCACAGAGTAAGACATACGGAATGCCACATTTGATTACAGTGATTTGGCCCATTACAGCCTTGTGGGGTTGTATGATTTTGAGTGTAGTGTCATGATCAGACAGGCGGAAAGCAAAGGCATATTTTCAAAACAAGTCTTGCACGCATGCCCTTCATGCTGAAAACATCTCTGACACGTTTCAATATTTTTTTTCCCTAATCTAAGCCCAGGGGAAATTTAATAGAAATCCACAGTGCAACTTAATTCAGGCAAACACCGAAGACATTTCCCCCTCTCACCTGAAAGAAAAAGTGTACATTGACAAAGATCTTGTCTGCAACTGGTGAACAACTGGAAAACTTACTGACTGTTAGATGTAAAATACTAGAAAGATGATCACGTGACATTTTGGATTTTGCTTTCTTCTCTGTTAGACAGATAGCATGCTCCCAAACTAATATGAAGTTAAATAAACAAACGTGAGAAAAAACACATTTGTATCACCAAGGAATGTCTGCTACAAGAAAATACCTGTTCTTCTTTTGAAAAAGCACATGATTTCATTTCCATGATTTCTTCTAATAAGATTTACAAGTAAACACTCAGAGCACCAAAACTGTACCGTGTTAAAACCTTGTATCCATGCTCTGGAGTTTGGAGGAAGAAGTTAAGCACAATGCAATATGCAAAAACCACAAAGTGCAAACATTTTCTTACACAGATGTAGGATTTTTCAGTTGGGTGTACGTGGTACAAAACTCTCATCTAGGAAAATTTTTGGTAAAATTTTAAGTGGAAGACACAGTGTGAAAAATACAACATCACAACGTGACACTAAGTGCTATATATGAAGCTATAAACTTAGTGCCACCTCAAACTAAAATCTAACTGGATGTCTCTCTGTAGTGTTCCTCCAGAATAATAATCCCATTAGCCCAGCAATTGCTTCAAGGCTTACTGAACATTCCCTGCCTACAGTATCTGGACAGTAACAGGAAAGAGCCAGCGAATAAGTGGTTGCTCACAACAGTGGAATCAAAGGAAGCCCTCAGCAACAACACATGAGCTCGAAAAGCGGATGGCCCATTGGATCAAGTGTTATTTTCTACTCCAATGAAGCAGTTAAGCTTTGTAGTCAGTGAGAATACATCTGCCCTCAACCTTAAAAGCCAGCAAGGCTGCAGGCTTGTGAACTACACCAAAGGAATCGCTCTTTTCAGAAAGTCTTCATATTTCCTTTGAATCCAAATAGGTTTTTCCCAATCTAATGCAGATTTCTTTCTTTTCTGACTAGTGCCAGGGAAGTACAGATACCTTCTGACACAATCTAATCCCCACTACTGTTAGTGATCATGGTGCTTAAAGCAATTAAAAAACCTAGCTTTAAACAAAGCCCCAAAATAACATTGCCAGTAAATAATTAATGAAGTAATACTCATTATCACTCAGTCTGGGGAAAAAAAAAAAAAAAAAAAAGACCAGCAAGTGAAAACTATCAAGTTTAGATTCAGAAGTCTGGTACTATTCATTTGAAATGAGCTAGATTTTGAAGACAGTCTCATATTCAAGATTCATCATAGCTATATCAATGTTATTAATATCCAATGTATCACTTTGATCCTGACATCTGATTCTCGCTATTGAATCAAACATATGGAAAGTGCCGCTCCAGTCACCAATTCTACATAGAACAAGCTATTTCATTCATCACTAGACAATCTAATTAGAGAGGATTTTATTAGTTTTGTACAAACTGTTGCAGCTTACTTCAATCTTAGGTAAAGATCCATGCACTGCTTTTCACTCCTGACCTCTAGTGGAGATTCCTTAACATATCACTCATCAGTGAAATAAGCCAAATTCTTTTCCCTCTAATAAACTGAAAAGGAAAAAAAACATACACCACTGAATTTCTAGGGTTTGAATAACCATAAGACAATTTGTACTAACAAACAGAAAATATATTTTTTTGTATGGAAAGTAAGTATTCAGCTATTTAATAAAAGCACAACTTAAAAGGTGTTCAGGGCTGCCTCTGATGTCAGGTCTTTTGGCTAAGCTGACTTTGGTACAATTAACTACTTCAGCTAAAAATGAGGCTACTTTCTGAAGATCACACATCATCAATAAAACCTGTTTTCTGAACAAAAATGAGTTAAAAATCTGTCATATCAGGAAAACGGAGCCCTGCCAGGGAAAACAGTCTAGTAAAAAAGGCTCACATTCCTTGAAACCAGAATTGTAAAATATGGTCAGGTCAGTGTTTATTCAGTCCATTTTTCCACTTGGAGGAAATCAAGGGAAAGGCACTGAAGACTCTGCAGTTACTTTAGAAAAAGCACCCTTAAAGCCTTGTTAATTCAGGAAAATTCTAATGGCACAGCTGACACTGAATAACTTTGTTATTTTATCATACTCAGATCAGGTAAACATCATAAAATTTCACAGTCAGACCTAATTTGCTTCAAAATATTATTCTTATTTTAAAAGCAAACTGGACTGAAAAGGGGAGAGACCAGGCTCTGGAAAATCTACTCTGGTTTACTCTTTGGTAACTGAGCAATTCTTCCAAGATTATCATTAGATGTGTTTCCCTTTTTCCTCATAGAATCATAGAACGGCCTGGGTTGAAAAGGACCACAATGATCACCTAGTTTCAACCCCCCTGCTATGTGCAGGGTCACCAACCACCAGACCAGGCTGCCCAGAGCCACATCCAGCCTGGTCTCGAATGCCTCCAGGGATGGGGCATCCACAACCTCCTTGGGCAACCAGTTTTTCTGAGTGAAAAACTTCTTCCTAATATCTAATATCTTTTCAATGTAAGTCAGTCTGCTTTCAAACTTAATTCTGAGAGACACCACATCTAATTTATTTTCCAATTGTTAGAATGAAAAAAGACTTTGTTTACAGCTATTTACACGTGAGCGCAATTTACACTTTGCTTTGCAATCTCAGAAGTCTTTTGCAGAGCTGTAACTTCTCCAACAGAGGTCGCTGCCATACAAGGTGATCTGCCAGATGAAGGGAAGCTCCTAACAAATGCGGCCATACCATCTCAGTGCTTTCATGTCAGGGAGCCAGCAATTCCCTTCCAGCCCAAATACTGCACTTAACCAGCTGGGACAGCTACAGCCCAATTGGCTGATTTCCAAGTTTGTTTGTTGGTTTAAATCTCAGCTTTCTTATATAAAAAGAATGTGAAAGGTACATGAAGAAGAAAAAACAAAAATCCACATTCAAAGAGAGATCAGTAAAATTTACAAACTTATTTTACAAGGAAGTTTATTGTACATAAGATGGTATTAAAACTGTGCTATACTACCATATGACTAAGTTTAATATTCCAAGGCTACCATCCTTTAGCTAACGTAGTTCAAGAGCTATCAAATTCCCTCTTTCATCCTCTCTTCCTCCTTCCCCCCCCCAAAAAAACAAACCAAAGACCCCACACAACTAAAACACATTCTGTGCACTAAGTCCTCCCCCTCCCAGATTTTCATCTCAGTGTAAAGAAAAAGAAAAAGAAAAGCACTACAGAAACACCAAATCTGTAAACCTTACTTTTTTTCTGGACAACACTTAAGATATTTTCCATCTCTAACTTCAAAGTCCAAAAGAATTGATCCACCACATTTTAGTGCTGCACTTGTGAAAACACACTCCGCTGTGATCCTGTTTTTAATTGGGAAATGTGTTTTCTTTCAAAGTAACTCATTTCCCATCTATGTTAATCAGACTGCCATAGACTGCAGTGACCAAGCTGGATGATTTCCCCTGAGTTCTATCAAAGAGCCTGGCTACTACTGCCATCTAATGTACTACTGCAAGGAGTGCACTCAGCTGCACTGCTCTTAATGTTCCAATTAAACACTCTGCTTGAGCTTGATTCTGGACTACTGCACAGAATTCCTTTAGTGCCTTGGCTCACATCTTCTACACTAACAATGTTACTACCTAGGTATCAAGCTGATGGATATAAATATTCTTTTACATATTCTATCTGAAAAAGATTTTTGGGGCATATCAGTACTGAAACGCAAATCTTGTGTGTATGGAGCCAATGCTGACTGTCAATTTGATAATTCATTTCAGTGACACACTTGCTCTGGACTCCCTAGGAGGAAGAAGCCCTCTGGCCCTCCAAATCACATAACTGGAAAGACAGATATGTGCATTTCAGGAAAGCTTTCTGATTAGCTTACAGAGCTTTCTTTCTCGAAGACACCAGTCAGACAAAATATGTTTGACCAGGCCTTTTCCCCTTATCAGGAAGCAAGTGTGAAGATATAGATCATATTTGGTCTAGATTCCTCTAGCTGTACTTTTCTTCTGTATTCTCCAATCACCTCTCAGCGTTGTCTGCAGGGGTATGTCTGCTATTTTCTGGTGATATTATACAACCTGCAATCCAGTAAGATCAGTACAGGTATGCAGAATACTACATACTGATCTAATTCCTGCACCAGTCCATCAGTGACTTCTTCAAGCTCATATCAACTTGCACCACAAAAACATTTGCTCTGATCTACCTGTCCGACTGAAAGGGAACTGAAGTCTCAAAATCAGTAAATACTTCAGAAGAGACCCTCCCTGGTTTAGCTATGAGAATGCAGAAATAATTTAACCTTTCAGGGGAGGACTACAGATTAGAAAAAGTTCTGTTCTGGTGATATGACTACAAGGAAAACTATCAAAGTGCAATTAACTGAACCAGTCAGTAATCTAACAAACATAAGCTAGCTGGATTGCCATTTTGTTTGAATTACTCAAAAGATGGCTTTTAAAGCAAATGAAGAGAAACTATAGGATGAGAAAGAAGATCTCTGAATAAACAGTTTGAATGAACAAAGAAAAGGAAAAAGTGACCAAATCCCACACCAGAGAGGAGTCAGCAGAGGTCTGCAGGAGTGCCAACCAATGCATTGGCAGATGACATAGCAAGGACCAGAGCAGCGAAGTGAGAAAGTCCGCTAGCAATGCTGCTACTCAGGATAGCAAGAAAATATGCAGCAGACAAAATACAAAAGAACCTCACAAGGCTAGTGCCACTTGACAATAAAACCTAGCTGTGGAAGTATAAAGTGATGTATCAGGGGAAAACCAACCCTAGCTTCGTGCTGAAGATTATCAGCTCCAAGCTGGCTATTACAATTCTGGAATGAGACTTTGGAGTCATGTTCAATTTAGATAAGGTTTGCACATAATTGAGCTCATGAGCAGCTAAAAGAAACACCGACTATACGTACAGAAATAAGGAAAATCATTAATCAGCAACACATACAAGGAAACTCTGGTCCCTAAATCTCCTTAAGGATATGGAAGAACAGGAAAAAAGTTAATGAAGAAGTACATCGATGATCAAAACTCTGGTATGACTTCAACACAAGAAACAGCTTGGCTGTCTTTAACTCATCTGAAAAAAAAAAAAATTCTGAATTGGGAAAAATACAGAATACACAATCACTGGAGATATGGGGAACACAAAGATGTAAAATGCAGACTCTTAACGCGTGCCAATTTCACTGAACAGAACAAAAAGAAATTAGGCTAAAGAATAAATAACAAGCTGATGACTCTTCCTATGCAGGCCGATTTCAGGGAAAGGGTACTACAAGCCTGTAGCAATTTTAGGGGAAAACAGGGGCATATCTTGAACTGACAACCATTACAAAACTGAATAGAGTTAATAATTACATCTGACTTGAAAATAATACATTAGAACCATCACAAATATATTTTCTCCTCACTTCTGCTCTTCCCTAGGCATCTGCTTACATTAAGGTTTCAAGCTTTACAAGATTTTCAGCTTCGACTTTTAACCTTATTCAGAAAGTGCCATCTGGTTAGATTTGACTCATTCTTTGAGGCTTTCCACAATTTCCAGAACTTTACCATTGTTATCTTATTGGTGTTTTCACACTGAATGACTTGCTTGGGTAGGGCTTCTGCCAATCCCTTCAAATCTCTTACACTGCTGATTCCCAGTTGGTTTAAGATGCTGTCAAACATATGGCAGCTGTTTTGTCTCAGTACAGCTGGAATAGGTTAAAACAGACAGAGAGCTGTTTAGGGCAGCTGATGAGGCCAACAACATCTCCATTTGTAAGGTATTTCCCTTCAACACCAGAAATATTGTTGGTTCAAAGAAAACAGAAATTTCTTGCCATATGATGTAGCTGTTCTCTGGACAGCTTTCCTCCTGAAGGCAGTACCATTTCCAGCAGTGCCCCTGAGCCTTGCTAACTTTGTGAGATGCTCACCTTCCTGAGCAGCTGAAGCACCATCCTAGTAGAGGAATAAGTGAGTGTGAAAAAATGAGCAAAAGCAAGAGAACGCATCCAGAGGGAAATTAAAGGGTGATTCCTGAAGAAAGCATACTTGGCAAGATAGTACCCACTGCAAACACACACATGCTCTAAAGGTTTGCACTAGTTGAAACTGTAATTTTGGTAACATACTTACCCATGACTTTGGATGTAAATGCTACCAAGTGAACCAGCTACTACTGCTAGCAGTTCTGAACTGGGAAAGTATTACAGCATGCCTGCCCCGATCCCAGACTCATTCTGTAACTCCAAAGAGGCAAGACGGTAGGCTTGAGGGACTGTCTGTCTGATCTAACATCATGATGAGCTCTCCTAAGAGCTACAACAAAAAACTGATAAAAATCTCAACAAAATCAGTGATTTCAGAAAACAATTATTTCAATATATGGATCAGGTATAAAAATCAAGGGCAATTATTTCAGTGACATCTATAATAGCTTATATTCTTCATTTCTAAATGGGTTATTAAAAGTTTTGGACATGGAACTCAGATGTTTTCCACTATTGTCAACAAAACTGACATGTCAACAAAAATGACAAATCAGTTTAATCATCTCCTCAGAATTCAGTGAGCTTTTTACTGATTCATCAAAACTGTAAGGTAAATAAATACTATTTCACATTTGGGAGCATTACCTTTCCAACGTGACAGATGAAAGATAGCTATGCTGGCACAGCACAATAAACATGAAATATAATACAAACTCCATGAAGTAGCTTAGGTAAGCAGAAATAATAAAACTATGTAAGGGAAAAACCTTCACATGAGCATTTGCCACCACTTCAGACTTACAAACCTTCTCAGGGTCTTGGTATCTGGTTCAAGGCACATGGTTCAGGAAAGATTTGAAGTTAAATAGTGACATTAATAAAGATACAAAATCAATATTGGTAAAAACAAACAAACAAACAGTCACATTATTTCTGCATTCAAATTTCCAAGAACTTTAAACATGATCTTCCAAGATAAATTTTAAATTACAGAATGGCTTGTGTTGGAATGGACCTTGAAGATCATCCAGTTCCAATCCCTCTGTCATAAGCAGGGACACCTTCCACCAGATCAGGGTTCCCCCAACCAATGTGGCCTTGATTGCCTCCAGAGATGGGGCATCCACAGCTTCTCTGGGCAGCCTGCATCTTTAACCACAGACATATATATGGCCACAACAAACCCACGCAACACTACAGGCTTGGGGCAGAGTGGCTGGAACACTCTGCAGAGGAAACAGACCTGGGGGTAATGATCAATGCTAGGCTAAACATGAGCCCCCAGTTCAGCAGTGTGCCCAGGTGACCAAGAAGATCGGTGGCATCCT